TGGTTTTATGTCTAACTATTGAAAATATTATACAGAAAACTAAACTTGAAAACAAGTATGCAAAAAATAAATCTGCTTTGTCAATATTGAGATTTTTCTTGCTCATCTCTGTTACAGTTTCTACAATGGGTTTTTACTAATTTAATGTTTGCAAACAAATTTGCATGCAGAACTTTGTAATAGGGTATGAATTTGTAATAGAAATTGTGTTATACCTGTATAGAAATTAGAGAAGATTTTTCCCTGATGTAAGGGAGAAAGATAGGATAACCTACCACTAGCCTAAAAACAATTCCTTTCTACCCAGCACAATGAAAGTGGACAGATATTGAAAAGGTTCCTCGAAGACTACATTTGATCCTTCCTAGGCCCAAGTCACAACTTCCTGTAATGACAAGTGGATTCTTCTGTAAGAAAACAGACATGATCTATGTGCCTTACTTAACTAATCAAAGAACAGGAAAACTTCATAATAAAGAGTCATATTCATGAAATAATTCTAATGCTTTTGAACAACATATTAGAGAAACTAATTATCTACTTTTGGATACTATATATTATCTTCAGGTTAAACTCCACACATTTCTTATTTAGTTCTGATGGCTAACAACTTTTTAAGTATATTTGAGCCCTTTAGTTTCCTTAATACTTGGTAATTTGGTCATGGAAGACTTAATAGTTTTTTTCTCTTTGTCCCAGACAGCTTCAAAAAGGCCAAAATACAATCAATGTCGATGACAGTACCTTTTTAGTCCTAACTAGTTACGACAACTGAGGTTATGATTGGCTAATGCAAAACTGATTTTGCAGACATTTCTTACCTGTTTCTGAACTGACTGGGTACCAGATTAAAACCCTCAATGGCAATTACAGCTGCTGAGAGCCAATCTGCAACTGGGTTGGTGCGGCTGCGTAAGTCACATAAAGAATTAGTAGCATTGCACTAAATAAAAGCCAGAGTACTGCTGCAACCATTCTCAGACTTTTAACACTATATATCTGTAATGGCTAGCTCTTCCTGAACAGATGATGTGTGCTATTTGAAACTGGTTGTAAAAATGCATAAAGCTACTTTTATTTTATACCTCAAGTCTGTAAAAACAAGTCCCTGATCTCTCCAATCTCAAATCTTCAAGCCTCTTGATAAGTTGAGGCTTAGTAAAATTTTTTCTTCTCAGTCTCCAATACCAGATATATCAAAGGCTAATAGGTCATGACGCTATGGTCTTAATTAAGTTTTAGATAAGTTATTCCATACTTCAGATTTAAAAACAAATGTAGATGTTTCCAAATGGCGCACTTGATACCAAGAACAACCTCCTTAATGAGTAATAGCCTTATGCTACATTAAATCGTGAACATTTTAGTACTGCCTAAAATGATTTCTCTCATTTATGTATGACACTATTAAGGGAAGTCTAAAACTTTCTCTGCAAATGCATGCTTTCTCACTTGGAAAAACAGTTAGGTTCTGTATTACTTCCCAAGAATTGTCTGTATTATAAGTTTCAGGATACAATTTTTTAAGATTTAAAGTGATTAAAAATGACAATTACTTTGTGGTTGACTACGAGGATATTTTTTCTCAGGAGAAGATAAATTTTGGTGACTGCAAGTTGGCCCAAACTAAATGTTATAAACATGTTATGAACTATTGAAGAAACATTTGCTGTTGGAAATTTACATCTGGAATATAATTGGCAGTCATGATCTGACTACCCAGTGCATCTTTTGATATGAGACTGTGCTTTCGCTTTTTATTTTTAATTTAAATGTGAAATGGAAGGCTGTAAGTTGAAAGATAATTGAATATGCTGTCCTACAACTGAGCCTTCCAATTGTGTTTTATTTCTTCATTTGCCCACAGAAACTTGTGAAACACTCTGATTTATCACATATCTAAGTTGTATACAGGAAACAACAAAGCAAGTTTGGATGCAAAGGTACAAAAACACATACTGATAGAAGAGAAGAACACTTACCAGTGACAAATAGGTCAGATGATTTTTTCACTTCTGATGATGGTTTAAAGAGGCTCTCTTGTGGCTTTAGTTACTTTTCTGTGACTCTTCATAACAAATCTGTGTAACTGTACTCTGATAAAGATAAACAAAACATTTATTTAGTTCTGCAAACTAGAAAGAAAATCGAACCGCGAATTTAAATGATATAAAAATAAAAGTATATAAAAATAAAAGAGTATAAAATCTTGCGTTAGTGACTTACCTAGTCATTAATAGCCTCAGCCTTCTTCCATGGGATTGCTTAATGTTATATTGAGTTACCATTAATATAAATATTGCTCAAGTACGCAATGTTAAACAAGCTTCAAGTTCAGCAAGGGTTCTTAACTCCTATTTACATTCCTAACCTTCTGTTGAAACCATGTGATTAGTCATTTGCAGTATTAGATTTTTTTAGATGGTTTTCAATAGAACATCATTTATTTATCCTTTTGATTTCAGACATAAAAGTGGCTTATTATCAACGCTGTGTTTTTAGAAAAAATGAAGTGTCAAGAAGCACAAGTCCTGTGCTGAAAGTTACAAAATGTCAGTGCTTCACATTTTTATTATTTTATGTTCCTTTTTATTACAATTGCACAAGCTTACCTTAGAAAGAGGGCCTTTAAGAGAACAGATTTGTCTCAAAGAAACTGAAATAATTCTATCTACCTTCTGACCACCCACTATACAGTCCCAAAGGGATTATGTATATTAACACGTAGATAGAAGTACCTTAACCTATAAGAAAGGTTCTGATCAAAAAGTGAGGATTGGAATACTGACCTTACCAATGCCTAACAGAACATCCCCCAAAAAGTGGAGCTAAGTTAGTTAAAATGAATCTGGTGGCAAGAGCAGCAGGCGCACCTTCAAGAAAGAAAGAAAATGTGAAGAACTGCTTTTTTTCCCCTCTTCTCCCCCCAGGATTCTAGTGTATGCTTCATAAGTGATAGAAAACAATGCAAAAGGATTTTATATTCCCCCATCTGATGAAGGCCAACATCCCAAGCAATCTCTCAGTGGAAGGCAACGATTAAGTTAAATTTTTGTAAGGCTCTTAGGATTTGACCGAGAACCTTTAATATGCTCAGTTTGCTGTTGGAATTAATTGCTGGCAAACTTGAATCTTTTATGTCTTGATTAATCTTCTCTACTACATTGTCAGCTTTACTACACCATAAAAGTGAAAATTCGATATTTTGTTTTCTGTTCCTTTTCCCTTTAATGCAAACTTTCATTAAATAATAGCGAGTGCTGTTAGTATAATTAACTTAGCATTATAAACATTTATATGCATCGTTTCAGTCTGTGATAGAAAACCTACTACAGAAAAGGTTTTTCTAGTGAAAGAAAACAACTGTATGTTAATTATGTCTTTGGAGTACCTTTCAGTGTTTCGCTCAGGAAATAAGAGAAATGAAAAGCTACTTACATGGGAATGATGTGATGTAACATAGTTGTATAATTTTGTCCTAGTTTCATTTTCAGCCAAAACAGCATTAATTGCATACTGAAGTTTGGTTGCTACTGAGTGAAGGAAGGAAGAGAAGGGTGGGGAAGAGCCACTGCCTTTATAGCACAGCAGCAAACAGTGTCCTCACAAGCCAGGAAAACTTTCATGCCACTCTTGGTTCACTTAAAACACTGACCATGATGAAAATTACACGCATAGAGGCTGATGATGTATGTGTGTAAAGAAGCATGTTGTATGGATAACACATTTACAGGCATATAGTATATGTACACGCACCCACTTACTCTCTCCCATCCCTACTTTGCTCTGTATGAATTTCTGCATATATATGCAGTAATTAATTGCAGGCAAAAATAAATTTACTTATTTCTGGGAAGTACCTGCTGAAGCTTTTCTAGTTTTGAGTACAAGCAGAATGCTTACAGCGTGTACTGTTCTTAAGTACAAATAGTTTTGAACGTATGATGTAATTTTTACTTGCATTTCTGTGCAACTCATTTAATTCTGTAGATTATTAAAAAAAATGGTGCATTATTATTTTCAGCTATGTGAGGTGATTATTTTTTGTCAATCATAGAATCATAGAATGTTTTGGTCTGTGATGGACCTTTAAGATCATCCAGTTCCAAACTCTCTGCTATAAACAGGGCCACCTCCTTTAGACCAGGCTCCTCAAAACCCTGTCCAACCTGGCTTTGAATGCCTCCACGTTGGGGACATCCACAACCTGAACTTCATGAGGTTGGCATGGGACCACCTCTCAAGGTTGTCCAGGTCCCTCTAAATATCATCCCTTCCCTCTAACATGTCACCTGCACCAATCAGCTTGATAGAGTTTGCTAACTTGACGAGGGTGCCCTTGGGCCTACTGTCAATGTCACCTACAAAGATGTGAAGTAACACCAATCCCAACACAGACCCCTGAGGAATGACACTTGTCACCAGTCTTGGACACTTGGACTCTGAGCCATTGACCACACCTCTCTGATCCAATTCCTTATCCAGCAAGTAGTCCATCCATCACATCCATTCTTCTCCAGCTTAGAGATCAGGATATCATATGGGATAGTGTGAAATGCTTTGCACAAATCCAGGTAGATGTCAATTGCTCCTCCTTTATCTACTGTCGCTATAGCTCCATCATAAAAGGACCCCAAGTTTGTCATGCGTGACTTACCCTTGGTGAAGCCATATTGGTTACCTCCAACCACCATGTGTTAATATTCAATATTTGCACCAGTAGGGCCTTCAGAAGGATTTGCTCCATGATCTTTCCAGGCACAGAGGTGAGACTGACTGGCTTGTAGTTCCCTGGATCTTCATTTTTTCCCCTTCTTGAAAATGGGGTTATGTTTCCTCTTTTCCAATCAGTGGAAACTGTCCCTGACTGCCATGATGTATCCAATGTGATGGAATAATGGCTTGGCAACTTCATCCGCCAGTTCCCTCAGAACCCAGGGATGGATCTCATCAGGTCTGATGAACGTCTTCACCTCCAGGTTCTTTAGATGATCTCAAACCTCACCTTCACTTACAGCATGTAAGTCTACATTCTCCAAGTTCTTATCACTGCCATCTGCAACTTGGGTGGTGTGGCTAGAGCACGTGTCAGCGGAGACAGAGGCAAAGAAGTCATTGAGCACCTCAGCCTTCTCCATACACCTTGTGACCAAGTTCCCAGTTTCCCTGTAAAATTTCTTCCTTTTCCCCTCTACATCCCTGGTTAGATGTAATTCCGCCCAGATTTTAGCTTTCCTAATCTGATCCCTGGCTGTTCAGAAAACTACTTTGTTGTCTTCCCAGGTAACCTGTTCCTGCTTCATTTCCCTAGAGACTTCATTTTTTCTCTTCAGTAAGTTCAGGAGCCCCTTGGTGATCCACGGAGGCCTCCTGGAATTCTTACCTGCCTTCCTTTTTCTCAGGATGTACTGCTTCTAGGCTTGGAAGAGATGGTCTCTGAATGCCAACTGGCTTTCTTGGGCCACTCTTCCCTTCAGGGTTTTCTCCCACATCACTCTGCCAAGTGGTTCCCTGAAAAGATCAAAGTCTTACTTTGCTTAATTATTTTTGTTTACGTGCTTTTATTAGTAACTAAGTATTTCTCCTTTTCTACTTCCTAAGTAGACTCCTATAGCTGTGTTATGTGCCAAAAAGTGCATGAGTAAGAAGGTATTCTTGTTTCCCCATTGATACCCCTATTTCATATCTATGCGTGTTTTCAAACAAGAGCTGTTCTCCAGAACTTTAGGCTAGCAAACAAGTTTATCACAGCAATATTCTGTGTAAAATAATGCTAAAGCAAAACAGTATGTACAGGCTTAAATGTAACAATACTTGAAATCCTGATAAATAATTGTAGTTCTGAAGTTTTGCATATTCATTTATAATTATTCTTTTTGTAGCAACAGCCTGATGGGATTCTTTTTCTCTTACATCAAGGAGGTAAAACTATAACCAGAAAATGAAACCAGACTTAGGTCATACGTTAATGAGCCAGGATAATTGCAGCTTTCTCTAGGTAATCTGAGTATCAGTTATTCATGAACGACTGACAGCAAACATGAGATTTCCAACAGACAGCTTTCAGTCACTTTGTTTACAATTATGAGGTGCTGAAATATAAAACATTAAATAGCAGTAGAATTGAGATTTTGAGAAAGAAAGGAAGAAAGAAAGTATAAGTAAAATTCCCTTATAATGTACTGAGATTGAGCCTATTCCTAACACTAACTTCCACAGTTGGAAGGGAATGGAGTTATTCATTAGGTACTGAGAATCCCAATTCTGTGCTGAGGGCATGCAGCTGTACTAAGTCCTACCCTGGTATGTAGGCTGTACTGTACCTTTGGAAGGGGAAGGAAGCATCCTTTTTCTTCCTACCCTCATGGGTTTCACCACCTAACCCTTTAGTACCGAATATAATTAACATCTGGAGCATACCACATGCTGCTTAACTGATTTGTTCCATATCTATTTGTGAAACTGAACTCCTTTCACTTAAAAACTGCATACAAAATTCTGGCAGGAACATCATCATATTCCTGGCGATCTCTGTCTCTATGTCTAGGCACACTCCAGCCCTACATGTGATTATATTTTGTAGTACACGTAGATGGAAGGAAGAATTTGGAAATATTTTTTGCAGTTGCTCAAATAATTGAAATTTTTTGTTCGGGGCTTTGGATAAATTTGAAGGACGTTTTCAGCAACCCAAAACAACTATGTTGGCAAGGAGCAGGGCTCAGGGTATGGTTTTAAACTCACAGGGACATTGGTAAAATCAGGTAAGTGACATAACAAAATATACGTGCAATATATGGGATCTTCCCAGTTGGTGTGATAATCACTAGAAGTTAAATTCACATGTGCCTTAAAGTGTCTTTGAGGAAAATCGTATGAGTATTGTTCTTATATCTGTGAAGAAATGAGAATTTTTTCCAATGCCAGTAACCTAATTGAAATTTGTTGACAAAAGTACAATAGGGAACCAGTTTTTAAAGGCATTTAAGCGCCCAAAGCTGCTGCAGATAGGTACTTAGTGAGGTTTTTCAAAATATTCTACAGATCTGACTCCCAGTATGTAAAAGTTTAAGGAGTCTCAGTCTATTAATAAGCTATTTAGGCTCTTCATTCTTCATTCCAATTTTTAGGCAATGACTCTTCAAGAAAATGGTCACAAAGGCTGAGCATTTAATTCATTCAAAGTTGTCTTTCATTTTAATGCACATATTTCATAGCATGGTATAACAGATATTTTTAATAGTTTTGTTTGTTTTTTTTTTAATAAAAAGATTGCCAAAGTAAAATGGAAGAACTAGGTTCTAATTATGGTTGGGGTTCATAAAGTAATTGAAGTAGTTGATTTTAGAATGTATTGAAATCCTATTTTTAAGTAACCCATGAGATAGGACTCAAAGGTAAACAGAAGTGACTCAAAATTTACTTAACAACAAATCTGACTGATGGGGGCCCCAGTCCCTTCAAAAGCACATACTCATTTCTTCACTCAGGTTTCCACCTACCAATTCAGATTGTCTGATTGAAGAAATATAGGCTGAACCAAAATGCAGTAACGAAGAGCACTGCAGAGGCAGCCATGGCCTTAGAGACACATAGGCAGCTTTCTGTATTCTGCTAGTCCTTCTCTCTATATTAATTTTATCCTTGCATCCTGCATCCATAATTCATTCAGATAACCCTTCATGGTTCACAAGCTCTGGTAGCCCATATTAACACTTGTCCTCGTGGACTCTTTCTGCTTCTATATTTTCAAGACACATTACTCTCCCATTTCACAACATCATTGTCAATTCAGTTATAAAATTAGAAAGATACAGGGAATTTACCAAAATCCAGGCTATTTTAATAACTAGTTCAGGGCTATACAACTTTATGTGGTATGATCCTTCAATCCTTTAAATCTTTTTATTTTGGGGAATTTTAAAATGTAGGTGAATTGCAGGTTCTGTTTTTGGGGAGTTGTTAACACGATATCACTTCTTAAATGAAAAAAATATTGGCTTTGGTAGAGAATTGCAGACATCAGATTTTTTTTTTTTTAAATTGCTTGAATCGCCTTTAAGAATTATTATTCTGACGGACCATACAGTAAAATAATCTCAAAACATATAACCCACAATCTCAGATACATTTTTTATCTGTCTTTGATTTTACAAGAAATACCGTGGTTCTTAAGCAGACAAATGTGCAGAAGGGCTTTTCTTGCCTTGCCATGCACATTCAAAGGTCCCTTTTACGTCAGTGAAAATGAGTGAGAAAATTGTTCTTCAAATAGAGTAATAAAGAAACTAATCCATGACGTACATGAGTTAAAGCCTAAAAATTAAAATATGATCAGATAACCCAGGAAAAAGAAAGACAAAAAAAAAATCTTCCAGTAATTTTATATTCATCTCTCAACTCAAAATACTTGAGGTAAAGTTGAATTCTCAGTTTCTGGCTCAATTAAAATGCCAAGGGAAATAATGTTTAGCCTTAGAAAACTCAAAATGCATTAATGTTGATAAAACAAACTGTTTTCCTTGACTTCTGCTATTGATCGAGTGACTTCTAAACCACTTGACAGTCTAAAAGTATTTCAAATAAAAGGCAAACATGACCTATTGCCATGATTATGTTCCCCAGATAGTTCTTCCTGTTTACATGCACAGACAAGTAGATACTGTACTGACTTCTAAAGATCTTCTATAGATGCAGCAAAAAGAAAAAAAGTTGAAGTCTTCTATTTAAAGGAAAAAAATAACATTAAAATCATCCCATAAGACAACTGAACAACAATATTTTAACTTGGAAAAGTATGAACTGTGAGATATAAAGCAAAAATAAGGAAAAGAACTCACAGTTCACCATTTTATTTCCTATTCTGAGCAGATTATCCTTGATGGAGTCTGACATAAAAATGTCATCAATTCACCAAAACTGGGACAAAAGTTGACTTTTCGTCATAAGATTTTTTTCTCCTTTCTGTGCAGTAGGGACCCTAGTATCCAATAAAAACAAACAAAAAAAAAAAAAAAAAAAAAAAAAAGTTAAATTGTTCAAGAAACATTTTGCACAGAATTTCAGTTTAAGGTATCACTAAAGCTGACTACAGCTGATTTTCTGTTTCAGTCCTTACCTTTTATTTTACCGAAGTCATTTGGAAAAGTGGGGGCTTTGCACAGGATCCTGTTCTCACCTCCTCAGATAAAAACCTCTTCAGACATACATAGTACTTGTCCCCAGTACAATCCAATGCTGTGAAATAGGTAAGCGGGTTTTGGACGTTTTTTTTTTTTTTTTCAATAATGGTTTTTTCTCATGCTCTTCAACTAAAGAGGATAGGTTAACATTTATTAGTGAATATACTGTCGTACAGACATAGAAAACTATTTATTTGTTGCAGTGATCAGAAGAAAAGATGCTGAATAAGAAGAAAAAAATGAGTCTACTGTTAAATTTGCAAAGCAAAAACTTTCTGTAAACTAAATGATCATTAAGCTGTAATTTGTAAAAGTAAGGGACTCAAAATACAGGCTAAACAGAACTAAGAAATCTACCAAATATCTTAATCTGAGGAGAGATGAAGGCTAAGTAAAGAATATTAGAGATCGAGCACTACACAATCATTTCTATCTACTTCTCAAAATAACCACTTGCATTGCTATTTATAAAAAAAAAGGCACTATTCACTTTTTAGAAAAACATTTGCATTATTTTTCAAACACAGCAAAAATTAATACTGTAAGTAATTTCAAATCAGTTTGGAAATTACTCACACTGATAGATTGTCTTTTTTTGTTGGCTTTTTTGTTTGTTAGTTTGTTTTGTTAATATAATCTCGAAAAAAATCTCTATCATATTTGTCTGAAGTCAGTAATTTATAACGGTAAAGGTTAAATCTTATCTAAATACGATTGTATCCAGCACTTTGAAAAACCAGAACACTTTTCAGCGGGAGACTGTGAAAGATTTTTCATCACCTTTCATTTGCAAATCAGTACCTTCTGAGGTAGCCCTAGCCTAACCATCCGCTCATGCATAAAACTGAAGAAGTTTCACAGGTAAGTTACGCTTCAATGGAGACGAATAGTAGATAAATTGCTTTTATAGAGCGGTTAACTGTGCAAGAACAAATTCTAAGGATACCTCTCAAGAAAGCAATTAACATTACAAACGTTCTTTAACCCCCGAAGGAACAGATTTAAGAATGAGAACCAAAGAGGTGAGATACCCACAGAGTCTGGACTTTGAGCATTGGTAGTAAGTGGGACCTGCTTTTTATCATTTATGCTGATCTGAGCACGCAGGGAGACAGTCCCAGAATCATTTTCCGTATCTTTTAAAGGAAATCCCTTTCATTTTCATTGGACTATCACTATTTGTATTAGAACAATGAAACTCTGCTATCAGTTACGCATATCAGATTGAGACTTTAGCTGTACAGATATTGACATGGGATCAGATAGTGAATTGATAGATATGTTAATTTTTCCCCTTTAGCATTGCCACTTAACAGAATGCCTGAGATCAAAACAAAAATTCCCTATTAGAAAAGGTGGGTTGGAAAGATGGAGTTAGGTTATCCAAACAATAAAGTTATGTTAGCAACGCCACCAGTTTTAGCTGCGGCTAACAGATGATGCAGGGACCAGGCCTAGACTTGGCAAGGCAGACCACATTTCACTGAACATACATACTGTGAACAACCTAAACCATTCTCCCAGCCTACGATAAACTAGAATCCAGCGTAGTATCAGACACCTCATGTAGCTTCAGGGTAAGTATCACTATTAAAGGCAAAGTATTCCAAAGAAATTAGTCTTTCAGAAGTGTGTGGACGCCTGCAAATTCCATTTTGAAGGGTACAAGTGCAGATTAACACCTGGTCTTTCTAAGGGATGCATTGTGTTCTCCTGAATCCTGCCCTTTAGGACTTACTTTGCCTTGAAGTATGACAAAGTTGAAACTTAATCCTTCCAAAGCCTTCCAGATTTTCCAAAGGAAATACTGGAGATTCAAGCAATGCTAAGGACAAGTTTGCCTCTCTCTGAAATATTCTGTGATGGGCTTTGCCATTAATAGTAATATGATCTCCCTTCTTCCCAAGAGCTACTCTTTCCCTGGTTGAGAGATAGAGAATGGGCTCTGGCACCCTACAACTCTAGATACAAAATATCTGACCTCCAGCAAGTCCATGCCTGCAAGCTCCTCTCATTGGAAGCTGAGACTGTAGAGACATTCCCCATCCATCTTAAATATTCTTCAGTTAAAAACCACACTGAGGCATTCAGCGTGTTTACAGCCAGGAATCAACCGTGCTTTTATCTGCCTTTTTTTTTTTTTTCCTTCTCTATCAAAGTTTCTATTTTCTGAAAGAAAAAAAAAAAAAAAGCCACAAACGAACCTTATCTGACTTAAGGACTCCATTCCTGTTTATGTTTAACATTCATTTTTGTGACACTTCACCATCAGCAGGAAGTTGGGCTGCAATGAAGATATACTTACCTGCTTAGCTTAAGGGCTTGTCCCTGAAGTTATGCAGAAGCAAGTAAGGAAGTATATAACATGTTAGTTATTTCATATCAGTTCCTTAGATGGACTTCCAGATATACAAGATTCTGAGAAAACAAGAATTATCCATCCATCAACTTCCAGCATACTGCCTGATAACTTTATACATTTCTTACCACGTTCTACACTAAATAAATGAAATTCCTTTGCATCCTTAGAGCACTTCTCATCATTTTCATCAATTCTATGAATTATATTATAGCATGCAGTAATTACATACTTTAATGTTGTTGTTCTTTAAACCTGCAGGCACCTACATACCACACAGCCATTTCCTCACCCCCACCCCCACAAAGGATTGAGGTAAAATAATCAGAAAGGAAGGAAAGCTTACGGGTTGAGACAGCAAGAATTTAATAGGAAAGGAAAATAATAAATAATAAAATACACAAAGAAAGCGATGCACAAAGACATTTCTCACCACACAGAGTAACCAATTGCCAAACAACAAAAGCCTCCCTGACCTGTTTCTCCAGTTTCATAGCTCTTCATGATGCAATACATTACAGGGTATCCCTGTAGCATGCTTGGGTCAGCTGTCCCACTTGCATCCCCTCCCTGAGATTCTTGCGCTGCCCAGCTCCTCCCTGGCAGCGTAGTGCAAAGAGCTGATGCATCCTTGGCTCTGTGTAAGCATTGTTATCACAGCTAAAACATCGGTGTGTTATCAATATTATTCTCAATCTAAATCCAAGCCCCTATATCATATCAGGTACTAGAAAGGAATTTAGCCCTATCTCAGCTGAAACCAGGACAGATGCATATTAATTACATATTCCATTATGCTATTGTAGAGTAAAATAAATTAAAATCATGTAAATATGGAAGAAAACAGGATAGACTTTAAAATTCAGATTGGATTATAGTTTCACAATTTTATTACATAAACATTTGTTCATTTTGGCAATTGCATTGGATTGCAAAGAAGTACAAAAGCAGAACTCTGAAAAGCATACTTTTGCCCACTTATAAATTATGATCATAGGAAGGGTGATAGATGTCACCTTCCCGGACTTCAGCAAGGCCTTTGACATGGTCTCTTCGCCATATCTTTTTCTCTAAATTGAAGAAGTACGCATTTGAAGGATGGACTCTGATGGATTAAGAACTGTTTGGCTGAACAGCCAAAGGGTTGTGATTAATGATTTTGTGTCAGGGTGGAGGCCGGATACAAGCAGCGTCCCTCGGGGGTCGGTCTTGGGAACCATGCTCTTCAACATCTTCATCAATGACATAGGTGATGGCATTGAGTGCACCCTCAGCAAGTTTGCAGATGACACCAAGCTGAGCGGTGCAGGCAATACACTGGAGGGAAGGGAAGCCACGCAAAGGCACCAGAACAGGCTGGAGAAGTGGGTCAATGAGAACACAGTAAGGTTCAATATATCCAAGTGCAGGGTGCTGCACTTGGGCTGGAGCAATCCCAGGTATTTATACAGACTGCTCCTTGAGAGCAACCTTGCAGAGAAGGACTTGGGGATCACTACTAATTAATATGTACTTCAGTGTTATTTAATGAATGTTGTATGCATGTGCTTACCCTTGTGAATATGCTGGAAACAGATGACATTGCACGCTAACAATTAAGGGCGACGAGGATGTATTTGACTTCTTGGTTGAAAGTCTTACAAAGTATTTGCAATGGAAAGGTGGAATATTACTTCTGCCAGCACGTGAACTGGAAGAAATTTGTTGTATACCAATCTGTTCTCTTTTCTTGGATTCAGCCATATGTTTATAGTGGGTTAAAAGAGAGACCTCAAACACTCTTATAACGATAGTACATCGGGTACAGAAAGACCAGCTCAGAGTCTAAGGATATCTATTTCTTAGCTTCACTGTTCCAGAGCTAGATTTCCAGTAAGACCGACTATTCTGTGAATATTATGTGCTGTTCACATGAACTAAGACAAAAAAAAAAAAAAAAAAAAAAAAAAAAAAAAAAAAAAAGCGAAGTGTTCTTTAATGATCCTATTAAATGACAAAGCTCCCACTCACTTCAGGAACAAGTTGTTAACCCTCATCGACCCCCACAGTAACTCTAATTGTCTGCAAGTTGAAAGGTTTTCTAATATGTTACTTTAAGATTACCACACCAGGTCTTAATGTTTGACTATAAATGAATAAAAAACATGTTTCAAAGCCCATAATTATTTGCTTACTCAGATTTCAGCAACAATTGACAAGAAATGCAATCATCTGCATATCGTGTTATGACTACTGCACTATGCATGCTATAAAATATAAGAAAACTAATTCTTAGCAGCTAACCGTTTTAGCCATATTTAGATGCATGGTAAATATTTGAATATTATCAGAGAAATAAAAAAAATATTATTTGAAAAGTCAGTAAAATTACAAAGGAATTTTGATTTTACATAGCAACATCTACTAAAATGTAAAGCTCAGCAATTGTTTGCCCCTCTCATAAAGAGAATTTATACATGTGGCTTTAAATTGCAGCTGTTAAAAATTCCCTTTTCTTTCCATTTTTACTCCATTATACAACATCACAAAGATACCATCCACCTTTATAACTAAGCTATTTTTATTTTTTCTTCTTTTTCCTCATTTCACTTTCTTACCTTCCTATATCCTCTTCAGTATCAGCACATCTACCTTTTTTTTTTCGTCCTTTCTCCAACGTTATTGCATCTCTTTCCTTTAGCTTATCAATTGTTTATATAATTACACACCCATAAAGTAGCCTTTCTTTGTTAAAACTCAATGTTATATCCTTTTTTCCAGTAGTGCTCCAACTGATGCTAAGTTCATGCACGTGCTATGCCAGAGAAATCAGTAAACCTGATAAAAATGCTTTACGTTAATTGGCCTGTATTTTTTGCTCGAAAGTCCACCTTAAGGCAAGTATTGTTTGTTACAGTGTTGTTTGTTCTGTATCTAAGTGATAATTACCGAGTACAGCAAGACAAAACAGTTGTGAATTGTTAAGCTAATTATACTTTCAAATGTTTTTCTAAGCTTTCTGCACTGTAATCTTTTTTTTCCCTCCGGTCTTTGCGAATGAAAAGCAGATTTTAAAGATAGTACAGACAGCACTGCAGCCCAAGACGTTGGAGGTAACCAAAATTCGAGACAAAGTATACGAAGGCGTTCCTACTCACTGTTTCTACACCTGCCTGTTGCCTTCTTCATTCTTGGTTGTACTCGGAGTTGTACTGGCAGGATTACATGAAAAGGCAGACTGCAGAGCTGATTTATAACTGTGGGGAACAAAATACATTTTGTCTGAGCATGGTCCTGTTCAACCTCAAGGTAAGGGCACAGGCTGCTAATGCTGAGAAACTGTAGTAATCTATGTGTCTACCGAGTAGAGAGAAACACTTTAAGGTGACACCCACTGTTAGATCAGCTTAAGATGATCATAAAGCCTCATCACTGGTAATTTCAACATCTTAGGAAGCATAAAAAAGCACTGTCGTCATGGCCGTATACTATGTATCACCATTAGATGATAATTCTTACAGTGCTTAATGTAAACAGCAGTCCCCAGAGGAGGAACTGGGCCAAAATTCTCATAATGCAGCTACGTGTCTCCTACTGGATGAATTAGAAGGAGCAAATCCCCCTTACACCACCACAGCAAGTCAGCTGAAAGAAATTACTTAAGCATCTGCCTTCTTAGTGAGTACTGCTGCTTTATTTCACTGTGTGGTCAAATGAATTAATTGAAGCTAGTAATAAAGGCTAAGAAAGCTATTTCTTGCATTCCTTTGAGGTTTGATGTGGAAAATAAAAGGTTTTAACTACGAAGCTGATTCAATAAATTGTTCACAAGCAAGTTCCTAAAAAAAAAAAAAAAAAGTATTACTGCATTATACTAGCAATATAAAATTTTTGTATAGCTTTACCCTAAATTGAGTAATGTTTTGTCTTCATATGGGATCCTGAAGTGCTTTGTTCACAGTAAATCATTTGTAATAGATGACCTTATTTGACTTACGTGATTATTAAGTGACTTCCCACTCCATCAGAAAAACAGATTATGTTCTCCACAGTTTCCTGGCTTGGGAAATGGAATAATTCCATCATCTCCTCACTAGAAGCATTCTTATGTTTCAGGCTAACATCCACAACGTAAGTTTACTAGGATGTTTCTCCCTGCACCTCACATGCAAATTCTTCTGCTCCAACACAAACAGTTGGGGTGGGACACAAGCCAAATCAAGGCAGAATAATTTTCAAGCCCAGAAATGTTTAACAGTCAGTGGTGCTGTAGCTTAAAACAAAATCAATATTGATTTCTGAACTTTTATATTACTGTTCCACAGAGCATAATCTTAGCTGACTCTGGTCATGCCTCATAATGTAAACAACTTGAGTAGCTGGAGAATATCTGAAATTGTCCTTGGTATACATAAGAAACATCATCCATACTTCTCTGCCATTCATTTGCACGTGCTTTGATGAACAAGCACAGTAGTTCATAACATACTAAAACAACTATGTTAAGTACAGAGTCCATAGAAAAAGAATCATCTTACCTTCTGACATTCCACTTGGGTTTTTAATACTTTCTTTACAGAGATGCAAATGACAACATGAGATAAAGCAAACTTGAGTGAACTGAGCAATTAAAATGTTAATGACTTGTGAAATTTTAAAATTCCTTTTGGTTCCTATACCAAATACGTTCACCAATGTATTTCTACATTGAAGTTTTTTTAAAAAAATAATATCTGCAAAGATGCTAGCAATGTAATGCCAATATCAGATTTATTGAAGTAATGTGACAAACAAGTGGAGTTCCAGAAGAGAGGATTGAAAAAAAAAAAAAAAAAAACAACAACACAACAGTGTTTTTTGTTTGTTTTCATTCTTTTCAGCTGAAACCTTACTTTTCCTTCTAACATACTTTAAATTAACTTGCTCAGAAATTTTATTTTGTATCAACTGCTTTTCTTTAGAAATCTGACAAGGAGAGGCTACATGTTTACGAGACCTGCTTGTCAGAAGGGGTAATAATTCTCATCTGGGAAATGTATTCTCACCAAGATCAATTCTGCCAGATATGAAGGCCAATGTTAGCCAAACTTGCAAATATTTGCTATATTCCTCAGCATTTCTGGATTCATTATTCTACTATAAGAAACTTGTGCATAATAAAATGCTTTGTTTCCTTACTTTGCTTTGGTCTATCAGCAATAAATGAGTTTGTAAGCTGAAGACAAAGAACACTAGACTTTGTTATGATGACTGACACAAGAACTAGTCAGAGACCAACCTTAGATGCCTTTCATATTTGCTTTGAGCCCTGTAAACATAATCAAGATTTATACACTACTGGACAAGAGCTTTAATTCTCCACTGCAGCTTTTACAAGGTGATCTAACAACTGAAAACGTCGAGCCTTTAAAAGCATTCTTTGGTGATTAGAACTCTTTTACCCAAACTTCACTACAGTTTAAAGAAAGCTTAAGATCTTGCAGAAACAAGACAACAACGCATCTTCAAAGGGTGCATTTGTAAGCATGCATACCAAATAGAAAGCTTACCCCGGAAAGGATAACCTTGAAGGAGCAAAGCTACACCTGATTTGCCTGTCAGCTAACAATTGGAAGTTATGTTCCTTGCAAGATGCCAGAGAATTTTTGTTTCAAATTAAGCTTAAGTCAAGCACTAGTCAGAGTTTCATTCATTTTAAAAGGAAATGCTGCCTTACTCAGCTTGGAAAGATGAAGGTTGGCATACTTTTCATTTTTTAATATGTATGTAGATTATCTCCTGATGAAAATGACTGACTTGGCAGGTATTGATGCAAACAGTGAAGCGAGAACATTAACTTTTAAAGGTTTTTTTCCCCCTTCCAAGTTCAAGATAAACGATTGTCTCTGAGGCTGTAATGTTCTCTTCCTAAGCTTTCTGAATATTTCATTTGGTGTGTATGTATGTGTACACACACATAAAGTAATTGCATTATCAGAATAAACTGACCACTAAGTTACTGTGCTAATGAACCAGAGTTTGACCCTCTGTGAATAATGCAAGACTATTGACCTATTTTTCTTGTTCTTTCTTACAAGAAAAACTTCACTTTTATTACACTCCCTCTTACTTCTTTAAGTCTACATTTACTTTGTTCTGTCAACTACAGAATAGTTCTAGTTGAGTGTGGGAATAGAGGGGTGAATGAATATTTTTGTAATGTAAGCTAACATGGATAAGACGAAGGAGAGAGACCAAACTCAGAAATACCAGTGAAGTCTCAGCTTCAGACAAAGTTTTCGGGAAGATTTTTCAGTTTATAGCTACGTAGAACAGTAAATGCAAGCATTTTGATAGAATTCATACAAATAAGTACTATTTTCTGAAGGAAAAGAAAAATCCATTCCAGATACATATTGACCAAATCTGTGTTTTAATTGATAGTTCAATCCATCCCCACGATGCTCAGCCTTCTCTATATGGAGTTACACATAACACACAAGTATTGCAAGAACGCTTTGCACATCTCTCAATAATTCTACAGCTGTCTCCGCCAGACTTTGTAAACCAAGTCCCTTACCTGCTTTCTTAGTCATCATTTATGTAGGCCTAATTCCCAAACTTGTTTTCATAATATCTCACAGGCCTGACAATTTATTTTGGTTTCTTTCATTCTCTGCAGCATAGCCTTAACTAGAAGAAAATAAGATACGATAGTACAGTCAAATCACATGAAAGAAGAATAAACCATCAGGAGAAAGAGAGAGAGAAAGAGTGCACTTTTGGAGAAAAAAAATGAGAGTATTGGCTCTGCACCTTTGCTGTAGCTCGAGAAGGAAGTTTTTTCTCTGCATGTGAGAAGGCAAAGCATAAAAACAGGCTATATAGTGTTTGCAAGTAGTATTTCTCCCTTCCTTCACGCCATGCTCAGCCCCTCACTTCTGAGAAGAGCCAGTCCTGACACCTCCCAGAAGAGTTTCCTCCACAGCAGCACCAGAAGCCTTGTTACTTTCTAGAGGCAGGACATCTCCAAAATGTTTTTCATAGTGACTGACAGTCTGTTCACCAGTACAGGTGAATTCATGATCTGCACAGTTCTGCTCCCTAAGGACATTCTTAATTCTTTTTAATACTCGGTATGTGTTTGATCTTCTCTCTTCCAAAGACAATCAAACATGTCTTGTCAGCACTTCATTATCAAAAGAGGAGCAGGAAAGGCAGCGACGGGTTACATAAATGAAGAAAGTGAAGGGTTTAGATAAAAATTTATGAGGTCCAATCCTTTGGCAGAAAAAACCTCCATACTTTAAAATCATAGTTATACATAATCAAACCAAACAACGTTAAATTGAAAATCATGCAAACTTATTTTTCCTGTACCAGAGCTAAATCATCACTCCGATGCTTTTATGATAGCTTCAAGAGTTGAACCAAAACAGATTTTTTGGTTGTAAGCTAAACACTACAAATAACAATTGACAGCTCCTAGCAGGGCCTTATTTAGTATGAGCCTTATTTGCACTTGATAGGAGCTTCAAAGCAATGTCACTGTCACAGCCTATTCCCCTCTCTTACCTCCTTCACACAGACTTCCAGGAATATGCTGCACAAAATTCCCCTCTAGCTATGTGACTCTGAGATTCTTCACTCTGCATTATAACATAGGCAACTTACACTCCAAAACATTTTACGTATGACCAGTTGGAGGGGACAGTCAATATCTTTGAGGACATTTTGCCCTGGTGAAAACCAGGGTCCTTACTGGCAATAGTTGCTATAATGGAGCCTGGCTCATGAATGTGGGGATTTTGCCAGAATGATTTTGTGGATGCATCTGTACAACTTTGTGCACTACAGTTTTGTAAATTGTAACTTTAGCAGGAAACCAAAAGGTGCACGTGGTAAAATCCCACTGTGAGAAAGAGAGAGGGTGTGTAGAGAAGTTGTGGAGCCTCCTTCCTTGAAAATACTCAAAAGCTGTCTGGTTGTGGCTTCGCCTACTTTAGAGAGGATTGGCCCAGCTGGTCTCCTGAAATTCCTTGAAATCTATAACATTCCGTGTGTTGGTCCCAAATAGCTTAGTACTCCTGGTGACCAGTAATAAGATTTGCCTGTACAGGAATATGGGCTTTGACTTGCACACAGAACTCTAAACCTATACAGGGAATAAATAAGAAAATGTAAAAACACAAGCCCTAACTACAAAACTTGTAATAAGTTCTCACATATATTTCCACATATGCAATAGAACAGATTAACCTGTCATTGCAGCAAAAGGGTTGATTTCACAGTGATTTTAAAAGAAATCTGACCTTGACATATAACTAATAAAAATCTGTGGAAATACACTATTCTGATACTAATATGTAATAAGAGTCAGTCCCATTTTAAAATACTGATTCATATTAGTTTTACTTCATCAGTTTCACAGAACTCCTAGATTTATATCAACATAAGAAAGACTAGAAACAAGCTCAACCAGCAACTTTTACGTTTATAATTAAGAAAACTGTGATGCTTAAACTGACCCATTAACGTTACAAATCTCCTGGACTCACAGTACATGTTTTCTGTGAAATAACAATATATTTTTATGACTTTTATTAGTATAGCATTTAATATTAATCTGACTCTCTCAGTCTTACTGGTTGTTTCCTTCTGCAGAATGAACATGCCAACAGTTGAAATTTGTGGGTCCAGACCTAAGTAGGCCACTGTAAGAGAGTCAGCGAGTAGCCATCGTTTCTTTTTGTCAGTGATCTTCAACAGCTACCTCGTACAAAGGCAAGGATCTTTAAGTAGATCTTTTAGTCCCTATAACATAAAATCACAGGCAGAAACAGCCATAAGATGGAAACAGTATAATGAAGATTTCACCATGCTTTATTTGTGTATGAATGAATTTATACATAAACTACACACATTAAGTATAAACTTGGGTCTTTACAACTGACAAGCATGCCAAAGTTCAATTCTTCAAAGAAAAATAGTTTTTCTTAATTGTTTTGAGAAGTACAAATAACTTTTTCACTTCCACAATTTATGCCAGAGTAAATCTAAAATCATTAATTTTTTCAGTCTCTGCCTATGCTTAATATGTAGCTGCAGCCTTCCTTCACTACTGTGGTTATTACTGCACGTTAAAGCTACACAAATGCACAAGTGGGCTTCTCTTTCACTTAGATTACAAAATATATAAACATGAGTAAGTGAAACGTTCGCTGTAGCTATGATTAATTTTACCAGCATAGGTCATAAAAACTGAAGCTTTCTAAAAAACAGATTGTAAAGTAATAGAAAATGCAACTATGACAGCAGAGCAACAAGATCTCTAAACACAGCGAGAATTTGCTGAAACATGACAGCAGTAGGCACAGAAACAAAAGAAAGAAAGAAAGAAAGAAGCTACTTACCTGCAGAAGACCAGAGTTACACAAGAATCTCCAAAGAGACACCCTTGCCTCCACCGCCAAACCTTAAATGAGGTTGGGAAGGTGTGGGTCCTGGCTCCACCTCTTCTGGTCACTAAAGTACATTGCATGCACCTGAGCTCTGCTGGGTTCTCACCAGGTGGTCAATCATGGTCTAAGATATGACATAGTATTTCCATTACAACGCACGTGTTTCCTAGCTTTTTTTTTTTCCTTCTTAAACAAAGGAATAGAGAAGGCAATTTTCATCATATATGTAATAAGAAAGAACTTCAGTGGCCTTTATTTTTCTCTTCATGGCAAAATCAGATTGAGAATAGCCAAAGAGTAGTTAGAACTAAGTAAATAAGTTAAAAATAATCATTCATAGTACTGAAACATGTGTAAATTCTTCTTTTCAAGAAATTCAAACAGAAATAATCTCAAAATAAACAGTTTATTGAATTTATGGAATACCTTCTGATTTCTAGCTAAAACTCTTTTATAAAAGGAAACTGTGGTAAGAAGGAAGAGTTGAGAAGAAAAAGAGAGTGGTGAAGAGGAGAAGGGCTACATGGTTTGCAGTTAAATTTGAGGCATTTAAATTTACGTGCAAGCAGGGGTCTAGATTTTGATATTTATGTTGCACTGCTGTGGGTTATGGTATGGGTTACACATATTCTAATTTGCTCAAGAGAGTCACTGTGATTCCAGAAGGCAAAACATTCTTTTCTTCTTTGAGTAAAGAGAAATGTTATATTCCATCTAAACAAATAATTTTAAAGTGACTTGCTTACAAGCAACGCACGTATACGAAACTCAAAAAAGCAATATACTGTATTAAGTAAACCGTATTTGTTTTGTGGTATAAATGAATAACAGTTCAAAATGTTCAAGATGATTGAACATTAGAATCAACACATAAAACATGCATAATTTGTATGAAACAATGTTCAGGTGAAAATTATAATATACTAAACATAGATAGTTTGCTGAATTATTTTATTTGATTTGATATAATAAGAATGAAGACTACAGCCACAGATCCAACTTAATGATAACTAGCTTAACTTGTTTCAGCTCACGCATGAACTGTCAATACGTCTCTGAACCCATTTCACACTTGACCTTCTGGAGGGCAATGGAGCAATATAGAAGTGTACACTATTCTCTCTGGTCTCTGACATTGTTAAAAGGGAAAAAAAAATGCACCAGAAAATCTATACTGAATTAATATACAAACAAAATCTTTATATAGGAAAATCTTAAAAAAAAAAAAAAAAAAAAAGCAAGAAACAAAATAAATTCATGAACTGAAAGCTGTGCTTTCAGTTATAGCGTCTCTTAAGAGTAGTGCTCTGATGCATTAATAGTGAAGGCAGGAATTCAGTTTAAATATTGCTGCAGCTTAAGGTACACAATTATGTTCTTCAGTGTCGACATTTTCACCTTGATAAGCATAATAATGCCATGCAGATGCAGACTAAAACCCATAATTTCTGCACTCTGCTTCTACTCACGTTGATTATAATAAGGTATGGCACTGAAGCATGCATGATCCCACATTTAATTGTCAGCATAGCCTTTCATTTAAACAAGAAGTTAGTTAACAGTGTGCTTTCTACACTGAATGTGGGAGGCATCTCAAGTAGCTGTGGATAAACAGGGAAAGTTAAAAGCATCAGTAAAAACATGTGTGAAAAACTAATGACTTAAATTCACCTCCAGTTTCTCAGTGGGTGTCAATGTAAATTGAGAACAATAATATGATATGTTTGTATTTGCAAGAAAATCTTTGCTTTTTTTTTCTCACTTTATTTTTAAACAGGTAAAGTTTTGCTGTTGTTAGCATTTGGTATAAAACAGTAAGTCAGACAACAACAAAGAACAGATCAAGTATAAATGTAAATTGAAAAATGAATAAGTATTATGAAAACTAAAAACTGGCAAAAGGAGATTGCATATTCTCTTTTTTTACATGACCTATTTAATATATTTGCTAATTTACTTCTAGCAGGAACTGAACAATACTTAGCAAGTAGAAAACAATTTAAACTAGGTCTGTAGTCACATATATACATTTATATATATCAATATGTATAAATGTACAAATGTAAATCAATATGCATGCATATATATAAATCCATAACTTGAAAATATCCAGCTTGTATACAGCAGGAAAAAAAATGGTATTGACAGCAAAAAAATCCCTATCTATCTGAAAGATATATTTTCTTGGATCTTTATCTAGCCCTATGCTTTGCTTGATTCTCAACAAAATAGCACTTAAAAATAGAAACGAAATATCCCACAAACAAATAAATCTCAATCTTGAAACAGTCCGAATACCACAGCTTACAAACACTACTTAATTCTCTTTTAGGTCATCACGATGCTTTAGTAACTTAAATCCCTTCTGATCATATGAAAAGAAGACTCAGAAATACATCATTAGGAACAGGAAGTTTCTTTGCCTTGTCTTATCAAATGCCACATTATATTTTCTAGGAGTAATTAACTCACACACAACTTCTCTTTCATGCATTTAGTCAGACAATGTATCTGAATTTGTAAAAGTTGGATGGCCGGTATCACTGTAGCTCAAAACCAAGGAGATGCTTTGCCAGTGGAAAGACAGCATATATCAGAAGCAGAGCTGAGAAGCTTGTGGGAGGTCTGGAACAAAATCAAGTAGGTGCGTGGCTGGTGCCTGCTGCACCACGTTTCTGTTAGCTGAAGTTAATGGCAACTCTTAACTCAGCCCATCAACATGTGACATGAGACAGACTGATTTGTTTTGTTGGAACTTCCAGAATGTTACTGTTGTGTTCTCTATTAGAAACTGGGGGGGAAAATAAAGCTATGAAGTGTCCCAGGATATAATAAAGCTGCTCCAAAAGTAATGCCTCTTATTTAATTATATTGGCCCACAATGGCAGAAGCAGATGTTGGTGAACCTTCCTGTAGAAGCATGCTCCTGTAGAGTATGAACATTCAGTATTCTATCAGTATCAAACCTGGTGGGATACAGTACTTTAAGGTCAAATCATTGCCTCGGATTATGGTGGGTACAATTCTTATACTTGTAATCACTTGATCTTTTGCTAAAGTGACTATTTTAATCCTTTTATTTAGATGGAGAAGGATCTCCACATCCTCAGTTGAATTTTGATGACAAGCAAACCAATAAGTAGATTTGGCAGAAAAAGCCCTTTTAACAGGACATGAAATTCATCAGCAGTGTTCAGAATCACTGCCTAGTATTTAGAAGTTGATGGACCAGATCCTATCACAGAAAGCAGAAAAAGCCTACTAACAATTTCTTGCTTTACTGGCGACATTTTTAGATATCTTACATACCTCTGCTCTCTTCTGTTGAAAAGAATTTTGGTGGAGAAATAAAAAAGAAAAATGTAAGGGAAAAGCCAGCAGTAAGGAAAAGCAATACATTTATAATTCTTTTGTATAATGAACAGTAACAGCTTCTGTAGTAAATGAAAAAAAATCTCTCCTTTATGAGGCTATATTGATTTTATAAACATAGCAAGTATCGTCATTTGGTCATACAAATATGTGACAAAAACTGAAATGAACCTGAAATGCAAATTTTATGTGTTAAGCTATCAAAGGTATTCAGTTTACTCTATTTTTATAGGCAGTAGTAGATAATAAAAACTGAGTAAAATCCTGAATAAAAACCTAAATAAATAGGGAACAATGAATGCTGAAGTTTCTCAGCTGCAAAACTACCTTAAGCTAAATTCTGTAAGATTTGATGTGGCAAGGAAAATGGAATATGACTATTACTGACTTGCACTAAATTATTTGACATTCAGCTATGCATCCTTCACCTCATACCTTGGGTCAGCTGTACAAATTGTAGACTAAGCATTACAAAGATGAGCTTTATTCTCCCATCCACCTTCTGTTCCATGTTCATTCCTAGTCAGAAGAGCCCAAAAGTTCTGTTGGTTTCGTCAGTTATTAGGCACACTGAAACTGGAACAGGTGACACAGGCCACCACTCTTTTTCTTCAGCCGTAATCCCTTTTCCAGCCGTAGGAATGATCTGCAACTGGCCACAGGGAAGGAGTATAGATGATGAGCTGTTAGGGAAATGCTACACTACATAGCACTACAAGTTTCCAATAAAAGACATATGCCTCACTAAACGTCTTGGAAGGTCTTTCCTGTGATGTATGCGCTTCTTTGTGGACCAGACTACAGCACTGGCTGCAGATCAAAGCAGCTGGATAGCAAAATCTTGTTTTAATGAAGTAAAATACTATGTTGACAGTAAAGCTTGCAATTAATTTTAAAACTCCCTATGCATTAATTTCTCATAGTTATGAAGCGCAGTGTACTGCAATTCAAATGCTGGATGTAGTCAATGTCTTCAGCTTTAATTAACTACTGCATCCATATTAACATGAAAAAAAAAGAAGGAAAAAAAAAACAAGGAAAACCAAAAATAGCATATCTTTCATGGGAGAAAACAGTTGAATCATTTAATATCTGTCAACAAATGATTACCAGATCTCAGAGGCAAAAATCATCTAATTGGCCCTTAGCATTTAGAAGCAGCTGAGTGATTGGGAGGATATTATTCCATAAATATTGTCACATATTATCTTATCTTAATAATTATATACAGTTTATATGACAAATTATATTGAAGGCAGCTTGCATAACCATTTATTATTCAGAACACAAAGTGAAATGGGACAACAGCTAATCCCCACAACAAACAGCGCTCTTTATACATCAGTACTGATAAATTAAAACAGTCATGCTGAACAGTATCCAGTTTTGCTTTTGTAAGACAACTGGAACGTCTAAAACTGCCTGGGAATAACATAGAAAAAAAGATTTTCTTTAGTGATTTAATTACATCTGCATTAATTTTTCAGCAAAATTTGCCATTATGTTCAGAATTACATATATAATAAGTGTAATACAAAGAATTATACTTAGTACTTCATACGAGGTTATCTTTCAGAAGTGATGATCCAATTGATGCTGAAGGGGGAGCATCTGACAACCTTCTTGTCAAAATCTAAGATTCTTTAGCAGGATGCTGTAAAATCAATATAGCACCATTATCATAATGCAACCATTTTCTATACATTCTTCCTGTGGCTGGTTGTTTCACTTTCCTATCAGGATTGCATCCTCCTATTTTACTCCACTTCTCCACTACTGCGACCACAATTTTCAGTTTTCTAATGTGGGTGAAATGACACTGCCTTTTTTGGGTGCATATCATTGTCTACTGACTGTAATGAAGCCCAAATAGCTTGTCTTGCTTAGATTAGCTACATTACAAATAAACTGCAAGGTGACAAGATCATTATGAATCTTTTTCCTTTTTCTTAATAGTCATGTAGAAGCTCAGTAATTTCTTTGTGTAGTTTCTCATACCTATCTATCAGACTTTTTTTTTTCTAGATCCTTAAGAACAAAGTATTACTCTCTTTCACACCATTCTTATTTGTGGTCCTTTTCTTCCCTTTCCACATACAGATACTAACCTTCATCTATGCAGGTCCCATATAGAAAAATTGTTTACTACCATAGTTAGCATGTGGAAGTCATTTGTCAATGCCACAATCATGAAATGCATTTGAACTCCTGCTGTTTTAGAGTTTGCCCTCACAGGCCTGATGTGACTTTTTTTTAAACCGATAGCAGGAAGTCAGATTCTTATTCTTTCAGAGCTTTTATGAGCTCAGTTTGAATGGCAGGTCCACATCTCACATAGATTTGTTAATTACAGATGTGATATTACCAAATAGATTCTTAATTGCTGCCTATGTGCAGAAATTGGCCTAATTTTCCTCTTACTGGTTCCACAGTAACAGGATAGTGTCATAATTGGCACACTAACATAAAGCAAATATGAATAAGGTCAGTACTAGACTAGCTCCTTTTTCTGGTGCAAAGAAACACAGATTGGATTTCTATTGGATTTTTAGGAAAAAAAAAAAAAAGCTGAATCCAGAATTTTTCTTTCCATTCAACTATTGTTTCCATATGTTATTGATTATAAAGGCAGTGTTTCTTCAGAAAAGCAGAATCTTAATGTTATATGGGTTCTTGGAAGAAAAAGACCCATTCATAACTGTCTTAATAGTTATCCAGAAAATGGAAGTAATAGATGCAATTTTTGAACAATCCCACACTTAGTATCATCTGAGGTGGTTGATCATATTCTAAGAAATTGGGAAGAAAATTCTACAATATTGCCTAAATAATTATGATTACATGAATACGTTTGCTCATTTGTAGCTCCATTCGTTTTTCTCAGAGTATACAAGTTTTTAAATTTCTATTATTTTTCCCAGTATTACTTGCACATCTTTGCAAACACTTAACTCTGATCAATTATATTCAAGTATAAATACAAATTCATGTACACGCACAGAACATACTGTACAATTTGTAAGTCATATTTATGGGACAAAAATGGTAGTACATTATCCAAACGAAGTTAATGTTCATTATGAAAAGATTACTTGGAATATATTTTATCCCAAAAGTATCTGTTGGAAAGTACAATTCCATACAAGCAGCAGAATTTGTTATATAAAATTTAGAAAGCCTTATCTCTTAACACGTTTTGATTTACAAAGTGAGAAAAGATCTTGACTCTGAAAAATCCTTATTTGATTATGAAATAACTGAGTGTCCCATTGGTAAATTTAAGGGATTGCTAATGAAACATGATACCGTGCCTTTCTTCTCCTCTGCTTCAGCTCTATAACCTGCTGTTTAGGTCTGAGAAAAAAAAGAAGGAACATCAGTGCTAAGTTGCACCAGTAACAACTCGTGTTCTGATGCTATCTGATCCCATTTTTTTAGTCTATACACTTTGCAAGGTCCAGTCTCTGTACTGATAAGAAGACATGAAAAAAATTCTCACAGGTCTCATGAAAAAAGGAGCAAGCATAACAGAGGGCATTTGGAACATATTATGGGAGCGTTCAAAACTTATGAGGAGTTATTTTAGGAGGAAGGGCTGCAGGAACAAGGTGTATCATGGAAAATTAGGCATTGGAGGATAGACATTTGGAAGAAAAATTTACTGAGGTAGGTTATGAAACTCACACATGGATTATTTACCATTCCTGAAGATTTAGGGAAACAGCCATGGCTTCTTTGAGCTACTGGTGGTATGAGATTTGCTCCAGTCGAGCTGGACTCCTTCCAACCAACATTTTCACGATTGTCCCTTAGTTTCTCATGAGCTCAGCAGATCATGGGAAGAGACGTCCTAAAAAAAGAGAAATACCATAACTTCTAACTGCAATAGGAACAGATATATCTGCATATTTCATTCTCCCACTGCTTAATTTTATGTGTAGCAGATAAATACAAGAGCGTATTTTCCACTACAACTAACACCGACAGATGATGTAAAATGAGAAAGTTAGAAACATGTCACTTATATTTAAAAAAAAAAAATGAAAAACCTCAGAATATATAATACATACGAAATCCCAAAACACTGAGTTCCTGAAAAATAATCAATAACATTTCTTTCTCAAAACCTTGTAAAACATACTATTTTGAAGAAAAATAGGTCAACTGCAGTGCTGTTACAAAATGTAAGAAATTGTGTGAGGTATCTTAATCATTTTTTTTCATAAAGTCAGTGGTGTCTTAATGCAAAAGAAATGTGCTGAAATGGTTGCTAGTCATTGCCTCCTGAGCTCCACTGGGCTCTTCATATGCAGCTCATAATTTTCTAGAGCAGAAGGGATAAAATCAAAACTGAAGCGAGTCACAAATCTTAATTGAATTCTTTAATGGTGTAATTTTCAACAATGATCATTCCAGGCTTTCAAAGTAATTTGAATATAGCTGAGTGTATGTAGGCACTTCAGCCATCTTTACATATATTTTTTGAGTATATTTGTAATGTTGGTGCAAGCATACCAAACAGGTGTGAGCGCATTCTTTTTTTCCTTATGTGTTATTGTTTGATTTCTGCATCATTCAGTAAGTGTGCCAAAGCTCATATTATGTTAATTCAGAATGTGCTGGTTTTTTTGTTCCCCTACTGGGTTATGTTAATGAAGAGGAAAACGTTAACCAACTATCATTGTAAGAGAAGGGAATATAAAAATCTTTCATAGAAATTTGAAATAATTTTGTTACCAACTGAATTCCAAGTATTGTATAACTGACTCAGATGTTTGTATTTACTTTCAAATGGGGACATGTGAGTATTGCTGAAAGAATTATCTCATAGAATGAGGTGTCTCCAGTCCACAGATAGTAATGTTTGATAACATTCTTCCAATCTTTCTGACTGGGTCTTTAGTGGTGACACTATATACTGAAACAAAACTTTTTCATCTTGTGAGAAAGGTTTCATGTCAGTACATAAAGGAGGCACAGAAAACTATATTTATTGGAACAGAAACAATTGCCATGCATGTTACTTTATTTCAGTTACTCCACTAAACTCTTATGAGTAAACAAAATGAGGAAAATCATGCTTAAGATGAAATTGATCAAGTCTTAAAATAGGTACCCAAAATCAGTCAGATGATCTGTACTCTGTGTTCTCTCTCTCTTCCATAATTTTATTCAAATTGCAACTCAAATTTGCTTTGGGACAGAAGATGGAGGAATCAGTAAAGAGTTCTTATAGCAAATTTTATCTTGACAAATACACAGAGATTTTTTGTTTGTTTAATTAATTACTCTATATGCACTTCATGTTTCAGATTTGTCATGTATCTCACTTTGTCCTATTCTGGTATATGCTTTTTAGCCTTTGAACATAAACATTGACTTGAACTTGCATGTTGGTCACAGCAAGTGATCACCATCTATTTATACAGATAGTTGCTACCATCTCCATGTATTTCCTGGGAGAGCAAAATCTCTTCCTTATTTCCTTACATAAAACAGAAAGGAGTTACTAAATCAGTTGGTATACAAACATGAAACAGGGCTCCCTGTGCCTGAGTTGCTGTGAGCTGCTCATGGCAGAAATGCAAGTTAAAGACCTATTTCATGTCTTTCAGCTTGCCACAGACCCCACCAATCATAGCTTGCTTAATTTATAACAAACCCAGCTAGGTTATTTTGATGTGATACTCGCTATTGGTATCAGTTTTCTCTTAAGAAACCAGCAGCATGTGAAGCAGGAATTTATTTGACCAGTTATGTTGGAAGATCAATAACCTAGTAGAAGTGCTGGTAGTTTACTGGGATCAGTTAAGTGAAGTAACATTTTCTTTTATAAATTAATATAGCTTTGATATGGAAGGATTCCAGTTGCAAATGTATCACAATCTATTTGAGACAAAAGAATCAGAACTTCCTATAGAATACATCAGTCCAAAAGCTAGACAAATTTTATCTGGTAAAAATTGGAAAGCAGCAAACTTCCCTATTTTTTTCCTACCTACATTCTATAGAATAATTTGATTGTTTGGTAACACATCATTCCTGACTTCCACGGTAACTACAAAGATACCCCTTAGAAGACAAAAGGTACACTACATCAGACATTAACATTTAAAATGCATGAAACAATATACAGGTGCATCCACTCTTTATTGGATCTTTTCAGACTTCACCTATTTGATTTAGATTAGAAAAATATATTAAAAAGAAAGTGAAATGCATAAATAGTTTAACTTAGCAAAGCTGAAATGAAATCATGACACATATGCGATTAAAATGGTATACCAAGAATAACACATGAGAAAAAAATAAGGAAAAGCATTATTCTACATGCTTTCATCATGTATATTGCCTCATATCTTTCTAGGATTATTCAGCACGCTCTCACCACTGCCCTCTTTGTATTTCTTTTTCTCCCCCTACTGCCTTACCTGTCTACACCTAGCCCCACTTCACTTTTCTCCTGACATACATATAGTAACTCCCTTGAGCTTTTTGCACAATGCTGTCACTGCAAAGGTTGCCATTAGAAACAGATTGAGCCCAATAATCAGACTGGACTACTAATGTCTACAAGTACCCTCTGCCTAACTAGCACTGGCAGGATGCTTTCCTTACAGTGATATATGTACAAGCTGTGACTTGCATTTCATTTTCAACCTTGGCAGGCCATAATAATCTGTTAATGAATGAAGACATCTTTAAGCACGTAGTTGTAAGCCAACAGCAGTTGGTAATCCTCCATATCCATTTTATTTCATTCCATTTACAATTCCACTTACAATCAAGCAACAAATAAACTACTGATGGTTGGCCAGCAATACCCATATGACCTTAGTGTTTGAAAACTGCAAAAAAGCAAAACACGCAATGCCAATGACAAGCGTACATTTTCAATATGCACACAAGTGGTACATTTGAAAGCCATTCTGAAAACAAATTTTAGCAAACTCAACCAAAACTTCTATTGTTAAATAAGGTATATACACACAAACAGACAAATGCTATTTGGAAATGGCTACTAAAAACAACACGTAGTATGAGACGTTTCTACAGTTCACTTTTTGACATAACATATAACAGAATCAGTTACAGAACACATAACAAACAATCACAATTTCAGTAAATCCCAGAGATGTATTTTTTCACTATGTTGTCACTAAACAGACAGTTCTACAGAAAACTTTGTTTATATAATTCTCAATAATAAAGTTGTTTCTTATTTAGCATTAAAGAGAGTAAATAGAGTAAATAAGGGATTTCTAAATTTCAGTACTCAGTCATGCTCTGCACATTATTCTTTTTCTTAGGTGTATACAGTTAGTACAGACAACAAAATTTATTCACTTACCTCCTTTTGCCTTGAAAGAGTTGAGTTGTCACCAGCCATTAAGAAGTCAGCTTTTTTTTTAATGACTAAAGTAAATAATTTCATATTATTACTACTGTTTCTCACCCTCTTGCCCAATTCGATTTCAATACCTTTGTTATAATGTCTGTACTATTTATCCTTTACAAAATAATTCAATCAAAAATAAATAGTATAGAAAATGCATGTTTTTTCCTCATTATGAACTCCTTTGAAAATTCTACAATGTGTGACCAAATAATTTTTTTAAGTGACATTGCAAAGATCAACTAATATTTATACTACAATATTTAGTTTAATCAGAATACTTGGAGTATCTAAAAAGCTATCAAGTTTTCCACATCATAACACATATGAAGAATTCTTTCAACACGGTCTGCTAACTAGCAATGAAAAAATTTCCTTGTGTCTTCAGACTCGATTGGAATAGCACCAAAATGGTCAAAAAAATTGAGTACCACAATTGAATTGTATCCCTGAATTTGGCAATAGATTTTAACCTCTGTTACAAAACAAAATGTGATGCTAAGTATTTTGAAAATATTTTCACCGTATCAGACCACTTGGAGGTTGGATAGGTCACAAAAAATCTGCAAATCTGAAATTTCGTATACAGTTTATCAGGTGTTTGTTGTGGCATAATACTGTATTTATTCTCTTCAAGATGACCAATTAAAAAAGTCAGTATGATCTACTGCTTGCTTGAACTGTCAGATGAAATAATTAAGTTCACAGTGAACCAAAGTCTACCAAATTTCTCACTAAATTACTGGATGCAGCTCTAGCTCTCATTGTAGTTCTACTAAACAACAATATTATAACTATAATTGACTGGTAAGCAATTACTGCTTACAAGCTAAAAACAAAGATAGCATATATCTCAAAATATTTTTAGCATTCATAGAGTAATCATAGAAAATGATTGCATTGTTCCTGATTTTCTAGCCTGAACTTATACATGTGAGTATATAATAATGCAAATTAACGTGGCTCATGTCTTATTAAATGCTTTCTTGAGATACCTTACTGGAATTGTGGTAGGATTTGGATGTCTGATGATTTGGAAGTTTGGAGCAAAAGCAGCAGAACAGATTGCTCCCTCACGCTGATACTGAGTTATGTAGGACAGATCCGTGCTACGTGGGGCACTGGGCTGAGCTTTGCCAGTTCCCCCTCTGACCACAGGATGTTAATACAGATTCCAGCGCTTCAGTGTTAGGTAAAATCACTTCACTGCTCCATTTCTCTGCTCCACTCACCAAGCTACTCCACTCCTAGCCAGCTGCAGCAGACATAAAAGCAACAGGACCTCTGAAATTTTATCCCCACAGCTCTTCAGGAGACCTTGTTACTGTCACACTTTGATGCACCATTTGAAGCACCCTGAGGTAGGGAAGAAATGGAAAAGTCACAGGCATGTACGCAGCAGCTAGGAGGATGATATGGATGCTGCAAGCTACTTGATCAAAATTTGCAA